GTTCCAAACTCCCTAAAGATAACGCTATACTGACTATACAGTCGCGTAGATAAATCTTTAAACGAAGTTTTCCAATGTATCAGAAATTTTGTATACGGAGAAACGATAGGGCATTTGTTAAGAAATAGTAATGCTAAAATTGAACGTGAACTTGACACTGTATTCAAAAGTTTTAAGTCCAAGGTTTATATTTGATAATGCAGGTAAACGACCGTATAATAGCAGTGAGTTGCATTTTTGGCTACAAAATATAGTCAAGGGCAAGCGCCTTGATCGGATAGTTTAAACAACGGTTAATAAAAACTTATGTCGTAATCAGTAGTATTTATAATTATTTGGATTTGGAATAATTATTAATGGAATTATTAATATTAGGAATAATTATTTGGAAGTTTCATTAATTTCTTTATTTTGCACAATAGTGTATTTGTGAAATACACGTTTTCGTTTAGAATTTTCAAATTTGGCAAACTGGCACGTATATTATTTTATGGTGAACTAACTTTGGTATCAGATTTAAACCATTATCCGACTAAAATATGCCAACACGTCTCAATTTGCGTCCTGTCCTTTGGTCATCGCTATCTTAATATAGCTTTCGGTATAAAATAAATTTAGAGCGTGATTTATTGTGCTATGTAATAAAGTCAAGTGTTGAATCAAAACAGTTCAATCAACAATATGGTTGAACTTGAAGTCGAGCAGAGCGCTGTCATGCTATAAAGATTCAATCAAATAAAACCTTTTTAGGTACTTTCATAATAAGCCGGGAATGGATCGTCTCGTTGTTGCCGGCGACTTGCACGCGCATTACCGCAATGGTTGCTTCCGGGACGCGTTACGCATTCGATAGTACACCGGAACGGGGACACGTTCGTTCCATTTGTGAATATTTGAATTTGGAACCGTTTCCTCGTTTTTAATCATAGATCAGCTATTCTGATAAGTATTTAGTACATATGTAGTATAAAATAAATCCGCTTTCCACTGTCTGTACGCTAAGTTCTTGTAAATTACACAACGGAATTGAATGCCGTTTTCAGTTAGGGTTTCTATATACATAGTTATTAAAAATGAGGTTATACATAATATAATGCAGAACCACGCAGCCGAAGTTGCTGGTAATATTATAATTGTTTGTTTATTTGCATCGAGTAGGAACCAATACTACTGGGCCGATTTTAAAAATTCTTTCACTTACTATTAGTTTCATCAATCGCGGTTGAAAAAGGTGGTCACTGGAAAATAACTAAAACAGTTATAAAATCAACCTCAAACTTGTCGCCGAACGCAACGCTGTTGCCTCATCAGTTAAATAAAACCTTCTTATAAAGGTAATAAAATTAAAATTTTATTGAAGTTCTACGCTGTGACAGCGCTGAGTTCGTAGTCGAGTTGAAGGCTGAAGCACCAAAAAAAAATTCCAATGAAATGTAGAGCCAGCCCATTATTCAGCTCATACATAAAATAGGCTGAAGATGCTTTAATAACTTAAGATAAAATATCGCCATACATTACAGTGGCCCAACACACACGGCTTAGGTAACATATAATATTTTCAAATTAAGAATATTAAGATGCCATGTTACGTAAATAAAACTAAAGATGTTAAGATAATATAAGATTAAATATTATAGCATCTTCACCGTCTCTTATGATCTTGCATCACACGTCAAATGTGTGTATATCATTAAAAAAAAATATGCTGGGTTGTTGAAAATAATTTTCATGTTATGATTGTGTTTTTATGGAGAAAGTGGCTGGAAAAAAAGACGTCGAATGTATGCTTGAACACAACACTTCATTAATATTCATTTAGAACACTCAATTAAATAATTTCTCTTTATTTATCCATTCTTCTATTTAATTTTGCATACATAGAAATAAAAAGGAAAACACTTTTTTAACCGCCTTAAAACAAAATGTGATCTGTATAACTCGTTTGTATGTAATATTGTTGGAATTGCGTAAATATGTCTGTATAGTTTGTGTATGTTTGCTCATGTATTACTAGGATTGTTATATTGGTTTGTTTGATAAATATGTTGTCAACTTATAAAACAGCAGATTTTATCAATATCAGTTTGTCCAGACTTTTAAACTAACTATTTTTTATTATTACTCGCTTTAATTAACATTTTTAAGGACTGGTTTATTTTAAAACATATAGTTTTGTCATGACTTTTATGCTTGATTATACTCGCTGCATCTAACGATGATCGGTTTGAATTTTTTGGATAGGTAGGTATAAATGTAATAAAGAAAAAAATATGGTATAAAAAAAGGATGCAGTTCCCGCATCACTTAATTTACGAGGTCAATAGATTCTTAACCCCAATATATTGTATCGCGTTCAGTTAAATCAATGTTAACAATTGGTTAAATTAGATTGCTTTGTGCAGTTCAAAGTGGGGATCGAAACGTGACTCAACAATGTTTGAATGCCTTTTTTTTTCTACAAAAACGAAATTTTATAAGACTCCGAAAACCCTTATTATGCAACAAAGGTAGGACCTAACACTGCAACTGATGCACAGATTTTCGCGAATATTATTTAGCTAAATGTATGAACAATTCGAAAATATAAGTTTTGTTTGTATACCAAGAGACCGGGCCCTCTGTTTATTTTTATAGGCTATTATAACAATTAGACTTATTTCAAGTGTTCTGTAATAGTGGCCGCGTTCGGTCACCTAATGATTTTTAAGAAATAAACATTTCTACTTTACTTACTATTTGTTATATTTAAGGGGTTGGTCACATTCGTCGATAGAAAAAAAATATATAGAGTTCACCATACAATCTAAGTAAGCATCTATGGAATGGAAGGCATACATTCAGCAGTCGTATTTCATTCCAGAGGACTACGATAGGCGTGAGCTACGAATTAAAAAATCTAGCACTATTTAGTTACTTAACTTTATTTTCAGCTCACAGTTAAATTTCATAGGTAAGGTCGAAAAACAGTTTTTTTTTCAACCACTTCGCAGTGAACAATAAACTGTCTCATTCCGTTGATTGAAAAAGCATCGACGGTCCACTGTTTCCTGACCTAGAGAGATTTGGTATTGTTTTTGTGGGCGTTGACCGTTTTCCAGTCAACACCCTATCAAGATAAATCTTATTTCATACGGATGAGAAATACGTCTTAACCGTTCAAAATCGACGATCTTATTTATTGAAGCTAGCAATGCAAACTAATATCGCGATTTAGCGGACACGCAACGCCATCTCTTATTGATTGCATTAACTACGTTGAAGAAAATGTTGATGCGGCTGGATTCAGAAACTATTAATCATATCTAAATAAAATTGATTACTTGCAGTTTATTATTATCTTCTACATTCGAAATCTCAACTTGGTTTTCTAATATTTTGTTTTAAGTTATGTTGAAATAAAATAAGATACTATAACTATCATTACTTGTTGCAGACGTACTAATTCAATTGAGATAGCTATTTTTGTAGTTTTATAACATAGAGTTTTTTTTTTTCTTTATTTGGCTTAACAAACAGTTTCACAATGAATCTTAATAGCTAAGTATATAACTTATTTTTTAAGAATAATTAATTGTAAAGCCAACACCGTCAACCACGAGTAGATTTCAGAAGTTGAGAGTTAAACAAATGAATAGTATATTAGAAAAGAAAAGTGATGTACTCATACTAAGTGAGATGCCCAATGCTGATCTCGTTCAATTTGTTTGTGATTAATGTTTTAAACGAGCCAACACTGGTTGCAAATATGTCTGTATCATTAAAATAATTATTATGTATGTCAGCTAGCCGCGATATTGGTGTACGTTTGCCGGCGTTTGTACGAGATCTAGGTGTAGAGAATAGTGTACTAGCTCGACAGGTTCGTACACGCGGTCTAAAGGGAACTTTGTAGCTTATGTTATTAATTATTTCGAGACAGTCATATTTATTGTGACAGAAGTCATACAGCAACAAACCCTGCAGCTGCAGTTTTCTAAATTTAAGAGAAAGTAATTTATATTGTTTCAATAATATTTGATAAGACAATCTTTTATGGTAACATTTATAATGTATGCAACGTAAAAAAATGTTTTGTGCCCTTTCAATTCGATCTGAATATACATTATATAATGGATCCCAAATAGACGTGGCGTACTCCAGTTGTGAACGTATGAGGGATTTATATATATGAATAAATGTAGAAAAGCGTTTATAATTACTAGTAGCACGCATAACAAATCCATACATTTTATATGTTTTCATGCAAATATTCTCTATATGTGAATCCAGTGTCAGTTTAGAGTCCAGTGTAACACCGAGATCTCTAATGTTCGGTACTCTATCTAGGTTTGTGCCGCATAACGAGTAATTGTGCTTACTAATTGTTTTTTTAATAGTGAAACTAATGAATTTACACTTATTTATACTAAGACTAAGTTTATTATTGCTGCAATAGACCGTCAACCTATTAAGATCATCCTGAACTTTGTAATGGTCCGTGGTATTTCTTATCTTGCGGCACAGCTTAAAATCGTCTGCATATAATAAAAAGCTACAATTTTCAAAGCACTCATCGATATCGTTTATAAAAATATTGAAAAGCAATGGGCCAATTATTGAGCCCTGAGGAATGCCCGATGTAATTGTAACGGTTGCAGATTCATGACCATGTATGACCACTTTTTGAGTCCTATTACTTATATACGATTTGAGTTATCATTGAAACTAAAGAATTTTACATTTTAAGTACTTAAAGGATCTGTTCTTGGACCTAAATTATTTAACGTTTATAATATTGTTCTATAATTATGATGTTAATTATTAAAGACTTATGTGACGTATGTTACGCTCCGATTATAGTTGATAATATTTTTATTAATTTAAAGTAAAAAAGGTCCGCTTAAGGAAACAAATTCCTACCGGCGACTTTTACGACTTGCACAGAATAACAAGCATCTGAAAATATTTTACTGATATTTGTGACAGGCAAAGATATTAATCTTAAATCTCTTTGGTTTCAGGCAAGTGGGCCGGAACCTCATCATTCCTGGCGGCACTCGCACCATCGACGCGACCGGCAAACTGGTGATGCCTGGTGGCATCGATCCTCATACCCACTTCGAGTTGGAGATGATGGGAGCTAAATCTGCTGACGACTTCTATAAAGGCACCAGAGCCGCAGTAGCGGGTGGCACCACTACTGTCAGTAAGTACTAAATAAACCGGCCAAGATAGAGTTGGACTCGCGCACGCAGTAAAAAAATCACGTTTCTTGTATGGCAGCCCCCTTAAATATTTATTTTATTTAGCTCCCTTAAATATTGGTTTTTAGTTGTTGAAGCGGCAAAAGGAATACATCATCTGTGAAAATTTCAACTGTCTAACTTTCAAGGTTCATGAGATAAAGCCTGGTGACATACAGGCGGACAGACAGCGAAGTCTTAGTAATAGGGTTCCCGTTTTATCCTTTGGGTACGGAAACCTAAAACATGAGTTAACACATGAGTATAAGAATTATTAAACACCTCCATAGGCGAGTGGTACATAAGCCTATTGAGGTCCCAGGTTCGGTTCAATGAAGAAAATGAACATTTCTATTTTGCATCGGGTCTGGATGCCATACCTTCTCTTCGCTATACTTTCATGCTATATTCCATGCTATACTTCTTCCTCGCTATATTCCATGCTATACTTCTTCCTCGTTTTGAAATCTGAACAATGTTTGTGATGTTATCTAATTTTATTTATTGATGTTATCTTATTATTATTATGAATATCATAGTTCATAAATAAAATAATCGAATCGCTTATAACAGCGCCATCTTTTGGCAGTCAAACGAAACAAATAATTCAAAAGGGGGGTCCTTTTGAATTATTTGTTTCGTTTATGAGTTTCTTGGTGGTTCGTACAAGGAGATACGCGGAACGTTAGCATTTTGTTTCGTGCTCTGCACTGTGACTGTTGTCTAATACTATCGATAACAAATAATATTTCTTCTATGGCATGTTTCTATTACGGTCATGATATTATGCGATGTTATAGGTGAACTTAAGTTTGAAACAAGCTAAAATTGACGTGCTCTACCTATCGCCATTGTGAGAAATATTTGTGTATACGTGGGTGACATAAGCCATAATTTAGGCTTATGTCACCCACGTATATGTAGCTACCCGAAGGTGGAAGGAATTTTTAAAATTGCAAACAAACAATCAAATCTTTACTCTATATCATTAATATTAGATTAGGTAATTAACGTTTCCTTTTTCTATTTTACAGTTGATTTCGTTCTACCTGAAAAAGGGCAGTCTCTCATAGAAGCTTACAACAATTGGAGAGAGAAAGCAGACAATAAGGTGTTTAAAATAAATTTATCTTCCTCTATCATCATTAGCCTATATTAAATCCCCACTACTAAGCATAGGCCTTCTGGAATCGAATAAGGATAATGAGCCAAGACTAACAGACGTCCCGTTTTGAACGGGACCGTCCCTTTTATCTGTCCCGGCGTCCCCGAAGATAACCCCGAGAAAGTGACATTTGGTGTAGACAAAGATTTTCTAGAATTTATCATGCTACTACTACCTCCTCAAACGAAAATCTGAAAATTTTCGAACCGGTCTTTATAATTTTGCTGAAATCATTGCCGTGAAGATTATCTGTGCATCAGGGCAATGTCATGCTTTGCCTCCTTTGCATTATAAATTTATCGGCTAATGCGTTTCTTTGGAGTCGTATCAGCATTTCGAAAATAGGCGAACTTACGTTTACGCAAAAATAGAATAGGCCTTCGTACGAGTAATAATGATGTTATCGATTCGATTACAGGTTTGTTGCGATTACGCCCTCCACGTGGGTATCACGTGGTGGTCACCATCGGTCAAGAAGGAGATGGAACAACTGGTCACCGATCAGTACGGTGTCAACTCGTTCAAGATGTTCATGGCGTACAAGGACGCGTGGATGCTGGACGACTACGATATGACTCGCGCCATGGAGACTTGTACTGAGTTGAGAGCGTTACCTATGGTAAGAACAAGATAATATTATGATTATTTTTTGACGACCTCCTTAGCCGAGTGGTTCGCACGCCGGTCTCAAGGTGTGGCCATCTCTGAGGTCCCGGATTCGATTCCCGGTAGGTTCAATGGAGGAAATCAACCATCATAATATGGTCTGGCCCTTACATAAGTCATTAATAACTACAGCACCATCGAACTTACAAAAGAGAACTAAAGTTAGAATTTAATTTTAATAAACAATCGGCCACCTAAAGCAAATTTAACAATGACAGAATAGTAAATGTGAAATTGAGACATGTTGACTTATTTTGGTCAAATAGTGGTTCAAACCCGGTACCTAACTTAGTCCTCATTTTAAAATAAGTCGGTAAGTCTTTATTCAAGCTCAAATACTGTAAAGAGTCATATTATTCCTCAGGTGCACGCCGAAAATGGTCATATAATAGCTCGCAACACCGAGAAGTTACTGGCGGCGGGTGTGAACGGACCCGAGGGTCACGAGTTGTCTCGTGACGAGGAGGTGGAAGCTGAAGCCGTGAACCGTGCGTGCGTCATCGCCAATCAGGTAGCAAAACACGAAATTATATTGTACTAGTCAGTGTTATTTTAGGTTTCATTCTGTTGGTCCAGACGTCGGGGACTGAATTTGAATCACATCAAAAAGTTTGAATTTTGATTTAAGGTAAGAAAACGTGTTTATTTTTCCGAAACATTTGTTTTATGGCCTTTATAAATTAAAATAAAAAATTACAAGTATTATTTCAAACGGAGTAGAATAAATACCCTTTTAAACTTCACATTTTACTTGCTTTGGATCAATTGGTCTTCAGAACGGAATTGCTTTATATTTTTTTTCAGTAAAAAAAAAACTTAATTCCGTATTAATCGAATAGGAGTAACCATATTTGTTACTGTTACGGAGCGCAACGGCGCTGCTCGGTACTAGATGGCGTTACGTGTCATCTGAATCGCGCTAAATCTAGATATTAGTAGTCTACCTCGGCCCCTTTAAATACGCGGTTAGCTATCCGTCCCGGCATTCTTTCAGTGATCAGCCCTGCGATTATGTAAAAAATCCAAACCCGAATTCGAATTCACTCAGATGTCCGTATACACTCCAAAAAGCGGCATCAGCTCAATCTTGAATCGGTAATAACGTGTCGTGGCATAAGTGAAGTGAGTTTCGAAATGACATAGGAATAGAATGTCTGAGACACGTATAATCCATCAATTGTAGGGCTGTACCTGCTGGATCCCAAGTCCTTCCCCCAAAAGTGAGGGTGCATCGGAGGGGGTTTGGTGGGTATTTCATTCCGGTTTAGACTAGCCTTCGGGCGGGCCTATCGCCAACGGCGGGCATAGTGCATAAAGCATACCCGCTACGACAAAAAAAAAAGAGTTTTGTTCTTTTATATCCAATTTACAACGAAGTAAATTGCTTTGATCAGGATATTATCTATTTTTTGTCTCTACCGCCATTGTAATAAGGTTTAAAATCCAATGGGGAAGTTGACAGTTTTGTATAACCTGACGTGCTGTCAACTGTACATATATTTGAGCCAATGATCTTGACTAATTTATTTATTAAAACCGTATAATTTGCTATTATTTATGTCGTTATACAATTTTGATTCCACTTTTTATACTATTAACTAAAACCATTTTTTATCCTTCTATATCGTATTAACTATATGTATATGTTTTTCAGGCGGACTCGCCCCTCTACATCGTGCATATGATGTCTAAGAGTGCTATACAAGCATTAGAGATCGCTCGTCGTAGACAAAAGCCACCGGTCTACGGAGAAACTTTGGCCGCCACCGTCGGCACTGACGGTAACTATTGCAATGTTAACAACTGTAAAATCATCATGGGCCTTCTCTATGGATAAAATCGACTCAAACCGAATATGGAGAATGAGCCATGATCCTTGTGGTGGGTCCAGTGCGGATCGGTGGCTGTTAACAACTGTAGATGCAGCTGAAACCAATGGCTTAACGTGCCTTGCGTAACATGTGAAGCACGGATGAGCTCTATATAAAAAATTTTTGGTCACCCATCCTACGACTGCGTTATCGTGTAGAATGCCCGTATGAAAGTTGCAAAACACTCCCCAACAGTTAAACAATCAATTCTATTCTTTAATTAATAAAATCTCTATTGTTTGTTTACAGGCACTCACTATAGGAACGCGTGTTTCCGCCACGCCGCCGCTCATGTTCTGTCGCCGCCACTGAGACCAGACCCTGATACTCCACTAGCTATGGTCGAAGCATTGGCCGAGTAAGTTATTAAATATACGAATAATTGATCGTTACGCTCCGATATGGTTTTAACGATTACTGGCATACGTCATGTTCGCCAATGGGTATTGCTTTTGGAGACGAATTTAATCTTACCTGCTTTACTGTGTCCATTTTTATATTATATTAATTTATCGATAATAATGTACGATACGGCATTTTTAAACATAATTAACAATTGAATTGTCTTTTTTTTTATTATTAAAATATAAAAGATATCGAATAGGTAATGACGATTTACATACCATTGTGATTTTTTTTGACATTTGAAAAAATAATTATTTTATTTCATTTATTTCTTATCTTTGTTCAAAAACTTAAATATAACGATTAAATATTTAAAATTACTTGTTTCAGCGATCGTCTTCAATTAATAGGAAGCGACAACTGTACCTTCCATGAGAAGGACAAGGAATTGGGAAAGGATAACTTCTCTAAGATTCCCAATGGTGTGAACGGAGTGGAGGACCGCATGGCCATCTTGTGGCAGAAAGGAGTAAACACTGGTACGTACTAAATATTGTGTGTATGTGTGCGTGGATGTGTGCCAAATTAGATTCGTTAACTTTTGAGTTTTAATTATTTTCTGCTATAATATTTTATGCATATATATATAGTAAAATGCCTAAGGCATTCTCTATCGATGAACCTTAAAATAATGTGGAGAAACCTATGGGAGTAGAGTTACAGCATATAGTAACTTACAAAAACAAAATTAATCTTCAGAGTATAATAACTTTTTGTTGATTTTCGATGTTATGTTATGAGTTAGGGTTTAAAAATTAAAGCCATTTATAGTTCTCAATCCGACACTTTATTTACATAATAAGAATCACAAAGATGATCTGTTAACAAAACACATAATTTCGCTTCGCTCACTATCACTTCACAAATGATCCAGTTTTGGTACGGTGTTTCTATATTCTGTAAAAATCCGAATTAGAATTTATGAATAATAGTAGTTTATGCAACTGTCATATAAGAAGGCGTATTAAAACACGAGAGTCTGTTTATGTGATAATAGGTTGACTGGAGTGTTTTAATACCTAAGTTATATGCAGTTTTATACACTGCTTTATTTTCACTCATAGGATTTTTTTTATTTTTTTATTGATAAGCCCCGCCTTACAATATTGGCCAGCTTCCTATCTATCCCCACACAGTTGCAGGTCTTTATTAATCTAACTTCACTTTCATACTAGTTCTTATTGTAATTATACAATCTTTATTTTACTATTAGGTATTTCCATTCTGGTCCGCAGGTATTACTTATGTCCTACTTATCCATACTCCTAATTATAGCCCCTCGACAGCAACATACTATCGCTCGTATAGCATGTGCTATCGTGGGGCTTTCATTACATTACACTGCGTTACAAATGAAAAAAAAATTAAGCACCCGCTATGAAATGTCATGTTTTCCTATTTATTCCTATCGTTTAGTAAGAATACATACATATTTTCTTTTTATGACGTCTCATTTTTTTCCGTGAAGATATGACAAATTACACTAAAAATTTAAAGATTCAAACATAATTTAAAGATATCTAATAAAATGTACAAGATATTTTTCATTAATCGAGTTTATTGTTTATTATTTTGGTATAAAAAATACAAGAAAAATCAATGCATACAATTTAAACCCAGAATACCTTTATATTTTTACTTTATCTTTTGTGTTTTGAAGGACCTTCTCATTTTAGACGCCAGCAGTAATCGCCTAGCATAGATGTACCCCAATGGCCTAGAAATCGTCCTTCAAGCTTCTTTATATCTTGGTGGAACCTCTCATGACAGTCAGCACCAAGATTAGATAGAAAAAAGGAAAGTGGGAATGAAGAAAGTTAATTTTTGACGGCATTCTACAACCCAACTTTTCGTATGCTTTTAACATATAGTTAAGTAGCCGTTCCGCATTTTCGGCTCTATGGTTCCCTAAAAATTATTTAACAGTGATAACCAGGCGTCTGTCGTCATTATATTTTACAACATTTGGCATATCTTGCGCTTCTGAAATCCCAATTTTATCTTTGGTATGAGGTAATGGAGGAGGCATTTCTTCTTTGTGAGGTATTTGTTTCAAATATAAAGGAATATCAGGATACTAAATGATGTGCTTGATTTTCTTTTGAAAATTCACGTATGTCAGTCATCCAAAAGTAGCAATCATAAAAATGATTACTAGGTCCACGCCATAAAGCTGGTACGGCAAATGGCATTGACGTCTTGTTTCCATTTAACCAAGATATGAGAGTAGCATAGCACGTAACACAAAAAACTGTGGTATCCATAATTTATCTTGATTTACACATCCAAAATAAAGTAAATATGCACTTCTGACTTTTATGAAAACTGAAAAAAAATGTACTGTCCACAAACATAACAAAACTTATTTATTTGGTTCATTTTTACAGTCGCGACGGCTTAGTTCAGTATTGATGTTGGATTTTTAAATAAATATGTTTAGAGATATCGAGGTTATCGAATAGAAACGATTTATTAATAAAACAAAACAATAAAAAAGTATAATACATCGAAAACCTCAACTGTTTCTTTTACTCCTAAAGTGAGAGTTTAAAATAATGATTGACATGTACTTCGAAAACTAGACGTGATGGATACCACATATATTTGGAACATTTTATCTGTGACCCATTACCTATTTATTCCAGCTATCAGTTTAACAGGTACCGAAATCGTGTAACGCAGTGTTATTATAATATTCAGAAAATATGCCGAACTATTACAAATGGTTGTTTTACATTTAGATTTCGTTTCATTTATCTACATGTTATATCTTATTTATTACACTTATTATACTACAATTAAAATTATTACATTTCTCATTATACGAGTATTATTATAGGCTTGATGGACCCATGCCGTTTCGTGGCCGTGACGAGCGCGACTGCGGCGAAGGTGTTCAACCTGTGGCCGGGCAAGGGGCGCGTGTGCGCGGGCGCGGACGCCGACCTGGTGGTGTGGGACCCGCGCCTCGAGCGCACCATCAGCGCCGCCGCGCACCGCCACGCCGTGCCCTTCAACATATTCGAGGTAGCTATTCGGCGGGCTGCCAACTGTCACAGCTAGGGTTGCCAACTATCACAGCTAGGGTTGCCAACTGTCACAGCTAGGGTTGCCAACTGTCACAGCTAGGGTTGCCCACAATCTGTACTAGGGTTGCCAACAATTTATACTAGGGTTGCCAACAATCTGTACTAGGGTTGCCTACAATCTGTACTAGGGTTGACAACAATCTGTATTAGAGACTACAAAGAAATATATTATTTTTCAAAATGAACTATAAATAATACAATACGGGTGCAAACAGTGTACGAAAATATAATACATATAATATTTGATCAATTTTGCATTTGTTATGCTATATTGAAAAATATTAAAAAATCCACTCTATGCCTGGCACTCTGAGATGGGACTCGAACCTGTGACCTTCGCAATCCGGGCGACTACTTACACCGCTGAACTACCCAGGACCTAACAGGACTGACGAATTTATCAAGCACTTGTTAATTTTTCGGTATAGTAGCGAGCGTATTTTCTTGAATGTTCTGGCAATCTAGAACATTGATGAAAATATGCTCCGTAATAATGTAGTTAGAACAGCGGCCCAATTGCAAAAAGTCGTATCATGAATAAATACATTTTTTTTTGGTAGTATTTAATATATTGTTAATGATAACCACACTTTTATGCTTATGATATTTATAATTTGCTTACATTGATTATAGAAGAAAAAATAAATATTTTACACTTCTTATCACGTGACCGCAAACGGCGCGTGACTTCACGCCCCTCTTAATAGTATCAAAACTTAGAGAATTAAATGCATTCATATTAGTTTTGGGGGGGCGCGATGCTATAACAGAAGTCGGTGTTTTTTACTTCTGCTTGTCGGGTAACATGAATAAATATTGTTGCAGGGTCAGCACGTAGTAGGAAGCCCTCAGTACGTGATCGTGAACGGCAGAGTATGCCTCGACGATGGAGATTTGCGTGTCGCTGAAGGTAATTATACTCTGTAATACTAGCTATAATAATATTAAAGTTAAGATTCGATTGTTTGTTTGCATTAAATAGGTTCCAAAAGTACTTCATCGATTTAAAAAAAAAATTACGCGGTTTACGCTGCAGTCTTCGTGTATGGCAATTCTTATTGTAATACATTATATCATGATACAAATATTTTACATTACTCAGGTTCTGGCCGATTCCTCAAGACCCCGGTGAACAGCCCGTACGTGTACGGAGGCGAAGCACCCTCCTCGTCTCCACAACCTCAGCGGGAAACTCCAACACACTCGCCATCCAAGATCTCCAATGGCAATGGAACTCCTGGTATGAGCGATATTCAAAAAAACTTTATTATCTATTTAGGCGGTCGATAGCTTCGAAATGACAGTTGGTTCCAGCTGTAACAGTAGAAGTAGTTATGTGATTCGAGATCCTCGAGAAAAAAAATTAAACTTATTACTCAAGTGAAATTTTTCTTAGAAATTTTAAACAAATACCTGTATAATATAAATAAAATTCACATTAAAAGTGTGAACAAATACTATTTATATAAGTAATAAAGAAAATAAAAAATAATAAGCAGCATAGATAAATAAATTAGAGGAGCGAAGTGACATCTAGTGACAAGAGAATCGACTCGATGCGCCGAGTTTACTCGATATCTCAACTGATATTTTTTTCAATTGAATACGAATTTGAAAAATTACACTCCAATAAAAACGGGACTAGAGTCGAATCACTAAGCAGTAGTAAACACCCGACAATCCGCGCTGAGTCCACTTGGTGGTCAAAGACCAGTAGAGCGATTCCGAACTCGAATTCGATTTCACTGATGTGTCTGAATCCACGTCATTTAGTGTATAATTTATATTGATTATTATATAATAATAACTACAAGATATAATAATACAAGATTCATTGATTATATGTATCTCATATATTCTATCCGTATGTCATTTCGATACTCACTTCACTTATAACACGAAACGTTAATACAAGTTCCATTTAAGCGAATCTCGTTTTCGAAGTAGATTCGGACACCTGAGTGAATTCGTTATTAAATTCGGATATTTACGGAATCGCAAGGCTGTTCTTCTTATTTGATTTTATTCAGAAAGAGGATCATGTACCCTAAATTAATGCAATAGGGACATTGATAAGATTATGGTTATGATTAAACCATTGTGTCCGCGGCCCGCAATTGTTATTGTTAAGCAACCTTCGCATGGGTCGGTTACGGGATGGGTGAAAAAAAATTATTAACTAGCTACTCCCATGCCTCGGAAAGCACGCTAATCCCCTCCAATCCGCATTGGGCCCGCGTGGAGTCATGGCCCATCTTCCTTAACCATCCATAAGGAAGGCCTGAGCCCCTGCAGTGGGAAAGTAATAGAGCTGATGATTAATGATGAATGAAACCACTGTGTCCAGATCTCAACTTGGTCCAGAGACAGCTGGACAGCGTGAACGTGTCCGGGTGCAGCACCCCCACCGGACGGAAGATGCGCGAGCCCGGACAGCGAGACCTGCAGAACTCCACCTTCTCAATCAGCAGTCAGTATAATCACTACATAAATATTCTTAATGAAAAACAAACAAAAAAAATATTTCCCTTAAACATAGTATAAGGGTGTTGAAGTTGTACAATATCCTCATGTTTCTTGATAATGCTTAAAAAATCTTTAAATACCGAATAGTCATGTTAAGTCCTGGGTAGCTCAGTGGTTTGAGCAGTAGCTCCGATTGCAAAAGGTCGTATTTTCTAATCGCATCTAAGATGGACACGACATAGATTTTTTAAGCATTTTTAATTAAGAATATAAATCTGTAATCTACTTATTTCTAAAGCAGTGCTTATTAATCAGCCTCTTCGATTTTGAAATGAATTCTTCATTGAAACTTGACATCCTCAGTAACCACAGGCTATTTTATCGCTCTGACTATTCTAATAGAATAGTCTACTCATATTATTGTTACAAAATACTGTTATAACGTAATAAAACTAAGTTACATGTGTACTTTCAGGCAATAGCTCTGTGCAAGTCCCCAGGTAGACATTTATGAAAATCAAAAAACATGTTAAAAAATATTTTGTGTTTCTCTAAAAAAATATTATATTGTATTGACAATGCTATATTGATATCTTACATAAAAATACTTAACCATTCGATAGTCTATTTTTAATTGTCTTTTTTTCTATTACAGAAGAGATCGAGGGTTTGGATACGAAGACTTCAGTACGCGTAAGGAACCCCCCTGGCGGCAAATCATCCGGTCTTTGGTAAATCATATCTAGGCTATTGAGGCTTCGCATCAAAAAATATCGCTTGTGGAAAAATAAAAAAACACTGATTATCTTTCTTACAATTTTTTTTCGAAACATGTATGAAAAATACTTGAAAAGAACTCGTATATACGGTGCATCTTTTTTGTTATTAATATCGTATACAATCGGTAGATGGCGCTGTAATTAAAACAGTGTATTTATTGTATTTTTGAAATCATGTTTAAATTTTATTTAGACTATTGAAAGCATACTTTGTAATTTTCAAATTGATTTCGAGTTCATGTATTTCCACAAGCGGCTTATGTTCCCTGTTCATATGAAAACCGGTTAATTACGAGTAATTCGAAGTAAAACCTAGAACAAGGGAATCACGCTTGGCAGCCGCGAACCGACTTTAGTTTATTATGTTCGTAACCCAAAGCTACCTAAGTAATATGAGAAGGAAAAGTTTATGAACATAAAGTCAGTACCTAGATTTTTTTTAGAATTGAAAATACCCTAATGACCACACTAAACTTTTATATTATCAATTTTAGGAAATAATTGAGTAATGCTTGGCAATAGCTTTGTTTAAAAATTTAGATTTAAAAGTGGATTCTGCTGGCCTAGCATCATTTTTATCGACACGATAATGTCTATGTCTCGCTCATAGTTCAGCTATGCGATTGAGACAACAATACACGCTTTATCATATTCCATAATATACCGCGTGATATGCGGCTATAAAGCTACAGATCAAGACACTATTACAAGATTAAAGTGTTATATTAACAGTACATGGTACTGATACTTTTTTATTTTCAAAATTAATGATTTGACAGTGTTCATCCACTTTTCCGAGTTTAAATTAGACTGTTAATGAGCATGACATAACGAGACATCTATATTTATTGGTGTTTTAGTTAATAACAGACTGACATAGTGTCACTGTGTGGATCATATTTGATTTAATTAGCGAATATGTTCAATACGAAGACTGCCATTGATTAAATAAAAAACTTCGAGTGTGATCCATAAATGACGTAATAAAATGTATTCATTACTTAATGATGTGCGAAAACGTAGGTTTTGTAAGATGAAAATTTGTCGACTCTTCCCCAATTACACTTATAGACGAATGGACTCTGCTGTTACTAATATGATATTGGTGTTTTATAATTGTGATATGATATAAACGATATTCTTTATTTTAATAAAGAAAATTCGTTTATATTTTAAACAAATAACGAAAGAAAACCATCGCTTGCGCCATCTATGTTTCGATCAACCAAAGTCGCTACAAATTTTCATTTTATATTAATTCCGCGTTTGCTGTATTTGTTGTAAAATGTATCTTGTTATAACAATATTTGTCAATTGACATTATTAAGTTTACAATAGCAAATATTACTTTAGAGCCAGGTCTGAAAATTTTGTAGGTTCTACGTAAAAAAATGACCAATTTTTTAAATAATATTGTTTTGTTTTTTATTGACATAACCTTGTAATGTTTCCAAGTGTTATTTAATTACTTTTTTATAATGTACTACTGATAAGTAGATAACTAACATGTTCCCAAAATGGTTTTCTATATTTTAAATCCAAAGCATTTAAAATTATTTTTATAACTGTCATTATAAGTGGATGTATGTGAGAAATTAACATGTTATATTTGTTTTATTTCCGCTTAAGATTTAGTATAAGTTATAGTTCATTGTTTTTATATTTATATATCTAATTCGTATATTTGTTTAGCGGTATATAAGGTTATCCTTTAGTCTATGCCAAATCGTAGTTTTCCATGATACTATAATTGTCATTGGTTATTCCTTTTTCAAAATATTTTTATCGATACAGTATTTATAAGATTCATAGAAATTTCATAGTGACGTGGAAAAATCTGCTCTTATCGAATCAAAACCATTAGATTTTAGTACTATAGTACAAATTTGTTTAAATCTTTTTTATACTATACTATTTTCCTGACAATTAAGCTAGTCTTGTATCCGCATCAATGTTTTATAGCATTTTACAATTTTCTCCTACAATTTAAGCATTGTCACAAAATAAAACAATGTAATCTCGTAACTTTTTGTTTTATTTATAATTTTGTGTTGAAAACATTTGCAGAAATATTATATCTGGTGGTTCAAAACTTACATTTTTAAGCTATCACTCATCCTAGAAAAAAAAAAATCGATGAAATTTTAAGATGCGTGATACAAATACTTGAAGAAATAGTGACAAAAAATTTCAACTTAAAATATACCTCTATTACATCAAATGCCGCGTAGGTACCGGATCTGAAGCGGAGGCAAAATCATCGTTATAATACATTATATACGTATCCAAATACTGTGATGTACAATTAGATTGGATGTATTTTCAAATTACTAGTTATAAATCCAAAAAATCCTATGCTCACTTTTGCTTTATTATTTGCTCAGTACTAATGCTGTAATATGGCGACAGAAAGCTACTACAGCCCTATTAGCTTCTGCTTGTTTATACGTTAGCTATTGTGTGGGTCAGGCTGGAACCGCCATCTATTCGATTTAAATATGAATTATCTCTGAAAGTATTTAACCATTATCGCCGCTATGTTCCAGACTTAAATGTTATTAAACGATCACCTGGAATGCTTATTAAAATTCATTATAAATACAGTTCAAGTGCCACAAAAACTATTGTTCATCTCCGAAACTAGATAACTCGTGTATTTTGTAACGGATTGATAAATAAGGAACTGGATGGATCAATCATTCTTTTTAAAATTTAAGGGAGCGGTGTCGCCAGCCTGAAACACTGATATTTGTTGGCAAATGCAAAATACGCGTTTTTTTGTTTTCTTTGATGATATAAATATGTTTTTTAAGTATTTTTTATAAAAACAAAAGTACTAGTCAGAGTCCGAAACAAAAGGATCACCTCAGACTCGTAAGCTTTTATGAAAAAATATAGACCTTTTTGATTTCGAAGTCTGTTAATAAAACGACCGCATACAATTTTTTAAGTTGTTTATTAAAATAATATTCGTTCAACTGAACACAAGACACGGGACCAGACCTAATAATTGAGTTTACTAATTTGACAATTTCTTTCTAAAAAAAATATAATAAAATGTTAATTCGGCTCGCGAGCCGTGTCTTTACCATCTTAATAATAAAAACAATCTATAAAATCTATCAACATAAGACCTTTCAGAGGTAAGGGCATAAACCAACGGTTTTACATAAAGTTAAATTTGGCACAGATAATATATTAAGCGATTACTGTCCACTTATAATGTTCGATCACAAAATTTGGACCCATGAAAAAATATAAACCACTTATATTTTTTTTCCATAGAATAGTGTATCTTTACCGAATAATATTGTTATAACATTAGCGTTAAAACTACATGGAATATTACTTATATTTTTTCATATATCCATATTCTGCGGTATAAGAAAATAATATATAAATATAAAACTCAATCCCTCTTATTCCGATGACAGTTCTAGATGGTTTTGGCACAGATTTTCGTACATTTACTGTCGAAAGCAAAATATAAAAAAATTATAAAATCATTGTGCACTCGAAACAAAAAACAAATCCAAAATATTTTCTCCTCGAAAATATCTTAAAAATTAATTTTAAGAATTTTCTACTTTATATTAAGAAGACTATACATTTGTCATAATTATTAATTTATTGCACAAACTCGTTTTTCATGCAACAATCGTACGACAGATTTGTCCAGGAATATTGGTCAATATGTAAATAACTTTATATCGATGATAGTATTTTTATTATGCTTTTTTGTCCATACATTTCAAATTACATGGCTTTGATCCAATTGTCAATTCAAAGGATTTCTAAAAAAAACCCACCCAATCAAAATGTGCACAATTAACCTTTCTTTTTAGTCATGTTCATTGATATTGCAATTAACAACATTAAAATTCTTAATAATAACAATAAAACGTAATTAACAAAAGTTGCGATGAATAAAACAAACCATCCGAGAACATTTCAAGGGCTCAATCACTTTTTTTTAATATATTTAATATAAATGCAATATTTTTTTAATACCAAATCTTCTAAATATTTATTCGCGAATTACAAATTTATTTACATACACCAGTACTATATACTCTGGGGGTTTATAGAAATAATTAAAATAATGAAAACTCCAGATAAGGTGTGATAGTTAATTTAGTTCACTGTCTGTATTCAACTAATATTTTTTTTCTTTAAAATCCTTTTTATATAGAATAATAGTGTATATATAAGTAGCATAGTACAACTTATAATCTAATATGACACAGTTAGATTAAACCTATATTTTATACATTTTACATTATGTATGTACTTACACATATACAAAAGATTTAACATTGCACCAAAATGCCCTTCAATGACTAACTTCAAAATTCTAAAAACAAGTGCATGCAAAAAAGAAAAAACATACAAGTACCTACATAACTTCCTGTACAACAAAAAAAATGTAACTTATCAAATCAACAAAACCCCTTCATTCCAACAAAACATTTCGGAATAAACCGCTTGGTAGTTCCGCGGTGATACGATGGATGGCGCTATTTACAATTTCTGTAACTATAAAAATAAAAGTACATTCATGAGGGCAGTTCGGTGCAGCGTCCTATAATAATGTCACTCGTACGTCGCTTCTAAACTAACCTACGACAGTCTAACAAGTTCCGTACAACGGAAAAACAATTTTCCCTTCGCCATGCCTTAACATTAATATTATACAGAGCCGAATGCGAAGGGAAAATGAACTAAAATTTAACTTCTATAGCTACATGGAACCTATCTGGTGCAGGCCGCTTTATATAGGAAAAGTTAAAGGGTTAGGCAACTTTAGTGGCGAACTGGCAGACTATGACACAGAGACAAATATAATAATTTATTTTTTAGTGACAAAGATAGTTATACTTTCTTACGAATCTCATATTTTGCACACTAATTCAAAAAGTAATAAATTCAAATTTGATTGTTTCAAGATATGTTTTGAAAATATCTGTGAGTAAATAAATTTTGACTCATTCATTAAGTACATTTTAGAGCTCTGTGAACATAATGATTTCATAGTTAAATATTACACTGTATCATTGAAAATAATTTGTCACAAAAAATATTTATATATTTCATATAGCACCACCACGTAGACGCCTAGAAAACTTGAAAAGCGTGACCATTAATTTTCATGCAACATAAAAAAAATCTTCGGTAGCATCCTTCTTAAGAGAGCAATAGAGGCCTGAATCGCTCGAACGAAACATAGACAAGGCTAATCTTTTAATTTAATATAAAATCATTCACCAAGTTAATTGTCTGCCGTTGTAATGAATAGCGTAATAAAAATACTTAATTATAAATGCAATCTTATTTTATGCTCTTTAAATTCGACACAATTTTATTTCGTCACACTTTTCAAAAGAACGTCAGACTTTCTGTCGTGTAATGTGACAATTATTTTGTATTAAATTAAAAGTTGGCTGTTAAAAAATAAATATAGATCTCCTATGAACAATGGCTCATAGTCATGACTTAAGCCCACTGCATACGTGGTTAAATTCCATAGATTTGAAAAATATTACTAGAGAAAAATACGAGTGATCTCTTGCCTTTTTACTTTTGATATATAAATGGAAAAACGAATAAACTCATGGTTGGAATAAAAGAATCTATGTGAGGAGTTATATCAAAATTATAGAAATTAAAAATGCAAAGTAAATGACTCGATTTGGACTCGTAATTTTGAGATCATCAACAGGTGACTGTCCATACATCATTTGGAGGTATTATTTAATACAACACGGGGGAATTATTGAATTTTATTTCATGGTGTCATTTTTAAATGTTACACTCCCTATGTTACTGCGTGACAGCAAGAAACACCGGACATTTGGTTAAAGAAATGTGGTAAAAGATTTACTATTAGGCCATATACATCGAGTGAAAATCAAACCATTGATATCATTAAATTACACTTCGGCAACAAAGATTCGAAACGGAGTTCACTAAAATGTCGGTGCTCCTAACTTTCACGCGTTTATTAGCACCCGATAACACGCGTCAGGACGTTAGGTAAATCCACTTAGAAATCTTTTAAAAATAGTCTATCAACAGAGCGGTTTCCTAAACTGGCACCACGCTTCCCGGATCACAACCGGCACGACCCGCTTCCGGAAACGTCTCAAAGATGGCGTTGCTTTTGAATTTCGTATTAGGAACACGTTCCGCCGCGACCGCGCCGAGGTATCGACGCGCCGTCAAGCCGCGGCCGCCACGGAGCGCGGCCCGGGTATCGTGTCCGGCGAATACCGGTGAAACCGTCACTATGAGACCGATATCACCTCGTGTCCGGGTCTCGCCTGCGCCGCGCGGGGCCAAGACTGGGAGGTGAGTTGTCCGACTGATAGGGGGTTGTTCGCGTCCCGGGGGTTAGTACCGACGGGGTTGCGCGGGGGGTTGGGCGGGGGATCGGACGCAGGCGACGCGAGGGACGACAGCGCGCTGAGGCCGCCGGGGCTGGACGCGGAGTTGAGCGGCGTGTCCGCATCGCCGTCGCTCGACGCGTCAGACAACTCCTCCAACTTCACGTCCTCCTCAGAGCAAGGTGATTGGGGCGTCGCCATCGGCAGCGACATGGACCCCGTCGCCTCCGCCAGGGCTCCCATGTATCGTACGCACTTTTTCTTCCGCCTGCAATATAGAACAAATCAATTCCCGCTCCTCCAAGGATTCGTGTTGGGACCGTTTCTCTTTTCTCATGCCAACCGAAAACTACTACGCTCACAAACTGTTTTCGGATTAGTCGAAAATAGAAAAAAGTTCTACGTTTTTAAATTAACCTACAAAAATAAAGAAAATACGTCAAGAATAAACACAAAATGTTACGAACGCCATGCTGAAAGAAACTATAACACTTGAAAACCTGTAGTTTGGAACACTCATGCGGTGTTATTAAAAATTAACGCAGGAGAAAATTGAACTTGTCAATTGTTTAATATCAATATGGGAAAAGAAAACATAATTTAATATCTACCTACAAAACACATTCAATTCCTACAAACGACATCGATAACGCCACATCACTATTCATTCCAAAATCTATGGTGATGTTGGTGTTTGCTTACAGTAAAAGATATATCTATTTATGTATTCTTTAGTTTCATTTCTTAACGAAGCAATACACCAGCATCTCATAAACAATTAATAACGTTTGAATTGTAACACGACCGTATTTTTTTAACAAAACAAGCGCGTACGCATTGGAAGCTCGATCACACTGATATTACGAACGCAGTATCGAATCTTTGTAACTTTTACAACGCCAAATGTATTTTTAATTTTAACGATTAACTCCCCTATTAATTAAATGGAGAAGTGTGTTTAAAATACATTTAATTCTTTTTCATTTTTTATTAAAACGTTGGAAAAATCACAAAATTTCATATTGACATGGCACTATGCACTCCCATTTGTCAAACAAGTGACGACTCTCTTATAAGGTAACGATTCTTAATATTAATTTTGAGAAAATACATATGGGACATCACTATTATTCAGTTACCGTTACATTTCCGACATCAAATATCGATATCGATACATGGGCTAACTAGTAAACCGCGGAACTTACGTTCAATATGCCTAATCGTATCTTAGCTGCTGTAAAACAGATCTTTCTACTATAACTCTAACGATCATTTTGCAAGCCCTCTTGTATTACCTTTGCGTGCTTGATTAAAAGGAGAATGCGCGAATATTAAGTAAAGGCGATCGAAAGTGTTAGGATTCTGTATCGTTTAAATTGAATAATTACGAGAAAAATTACTTAGTTCGGATTGTCGATATGAGACTATAACTTATATCGGTGACTTGTAATTTGACAAGTGGGAGTGTTGCAGATAGCGCCACTGTTGCGTTGAGTTCACATGAGGCTCACTACGCGGCGCTAGTGTTGCGACATGGCGACTGACCGTACAGGATCCTGCGGCGGGAGCGCGCCGGCACTAGAGGTTGACGTACGTGGGCTCCTGAGGGGGGCTAGCCGCGAGCCCCCCCGCACCCAGCGGAGGGGGCTCCGGCCGGAGGAGCCCTAGCCCCCCAGATACCATTACACTACTTGATTCTGGGCTATTAGATTTTTTTGTGTATATATGTGATGCAGATGAAACATTTCAGGATAAAATAAATTTAGTGTATTGAGTTTTATAATATGAAAAAGATAGTATTAGATATTTATGTATTATAATTTTAGTTAGTCGGTCGGTCGGTTAGTCAGTTAGCAAATAAGAAAGATGCAATATAAGTTTTGTTATTTGAAATTAGGAAGTTATAATTCGAATTTATGTAATGAAGTTATTTGTTCATAAAGTTTTATATATACAAGACATATTTAATTACATATATGTAAAAAAATTATAATATATTGTTTTAAAATCGTATAGAATCAAGTAGCGTTTTATAATAAAAGAAAAATTAACGAAAAATTTAAATTTATCACCAATAGTGCCAGCGTAACAGCAGCGGTCCACGAGAAGCGGCAATCATGAGTGGAGAAAACAATTTATCAGTAAAATAACCCTCATATTTAATTTACTTAACAATAACAATTAAAATATCAATAAACAAAACGTGTGCGAAATTCAGAAAATGTGTCACAAGATTTTTTTGAAAGCTTTCTTTTTTTGTCGACAAATGATTGCCCTTCCTCTGGCCACCTCTAGTCTAAACTATAATGGATCCTATGATCTACGTTTTCAAACTCGGATCTACTTTCAAAAAAATCTATTTTATATCATTTTGTTTCTTTCAAATACTACAATAGACTGAATCTTATTTCTTTGTGAAAAGACACATTTTCTGAATATGCATACGCTCTTTGTAACTTAATTCTACATAACCACCATTTTGCAGTCGGTTAAGAAAGAGCTATTTTTTTTTTATTTCAAAAGTAATAACATATAATGTAATAATAATCAATAAAAGAAAAATAAACAACAGCTATACTACAGTTTATTTCGTCTTTTTAAAAACAAAAAATAGCTAATCGCTAAAAACAATACTTTACGACCAGGCTTCTGTCGTAGAAAAAGACCAATAGTTAAGCCAAGTCTTTCCACATAGAAACATATTAAGACTAACGGTTGGCTGATTGGCTACCGGATCAAGAAAGCGAAACAAAAAATAATAATAATGACATAATAAACAAATATTGCCCACCTGCAAGGCTTGCACCATTGGTTCTGCTGGTCCAGGCCGTACCTTGCACGGCATTTCTTCAAATTATTCCCTGAAATCCCCATATGTCATCCATTAGGTATAATCGCAAACAAAAGTTTCCAAAAATATCTTCAATTTCTAATTTTCTATTCAAAAAATCAAATTATAAATTAATCTATTGACATTAAAATAAATGTATTCAAATCAAAAAACTCTGAATCGGTTCAAAAACAATATGATTACGAGTAAATTCTTTCGGTTCGAAATAATCGGAAAAGAATATTGCGAATGTCATATAATCAATAAATTAATATATATACAGCGAAAATCAATTTACCTGAAATCATATCTGAAGCTACTTAAAAATAATTACTCATCCAAAACTATGCACTACGAAACAAGCCATGCAGTAACCCCTCGACATGTTAGTTCATGCTGGGATCGGATCAGGATAGAAAAGAATAAGGGAATAACGGAAAAAAAAACATTGGTTCCAACCAAACATACTACACGCATATTACGAAAAATAATAACTAACTACTGTTTACTCTGATCATGAAATAAAAAACCACAAATAAAGAATGACGCTTGTAAGCAAAAATTTAAGCAGAATAGGTTCTCCGGAATCAAAATAAATCATGTTCTTTGGCCAGTATCATTTGAACTGAACAGCTAGCATCGATTATCTACGGAGTCCTGCTCGCAGACAGACGTGACGCCTCCATGCCTCGAACTCCTTGCATACTTATGATATCCTTTAAGGAAGGCTGTCCCAGCCTTATTTGACACTTGTCTATGTCCCTGCAAAGCGTTATTCAAGTGTTCAAACCGTGGTAACAACATGCACGCTCCCCTACATCTATCTGGGTGACTTGCGGAGCAGAATCGTAAGCCAAAAACCGGGACAACCTTCGAAGGGGTGCCACTTATATCAGGGTATCTCAAATATATATGTATTTAGCGTTCGTAATTACAAAAACAAATTAAAAAAATAAATATTTAAAAATAACAATAAATGCGATAAATATTTAAAGAAATAATAATACTGATATAAAATCTACAACCTGTACCCCCAACCATTAGACATTCGGCAATATTACTGTCCTTCTTTCCGGAGTTCAAAGCAATTGAACCCGGGGGAGGGGAGGGTGCGGGAGGGAAGCGACGAGCGTCTCCAGTCTTAATCCTCTATTAATTGACCTCGTTTTTTTAATGAGCGAACGAGACGTGCGTCGCTCCGTGCGGGTATAACGCTTGGCGACCGACTCAAAGCCAGTACCTCCATCGGTTGTCTCCTGTTTTCGCTTCCTCTTCTTGCCCCTTTGCGTATTAGCCCTAGACGACCAATCGGGATATAGCTGCATATGCAGCTGCCTTTCCCGGCGGGCCAACTCGTAATACTTTGCCTGCTCCTCGCGTCCGAGCGCATGCCACTAAACGCGCCGCAATATGGAAACAAAAGAGAATATGCACTTCGACGTTGAATCGCCGTGCGCAAGAGGTGCTAGAAAAACAGCCCGCGCATCTAAAATCCGTGATAAATTTTGATCCTAATAATTTTTAATGAGAATGGCCAATTGTGACGTTCCTCTCAGAACCTATTCTGCGGTACAGGAGTCGCGCTCTCTAGACATATATAAACAAACCAATGTTTTCGTGGGAGGGTGAACACTCGACGACTAACACCAATGCGCGGGCGCCGTACTCCCGATCCGCACATGCGGCCGCTTTTCTAGCACAGCGCCGCGGGTACAGGCATAACACACACACGCACACTCATATACGGGAGTGGGAGGTTAGTGGGCCCGCAGGCGGGTGGGGGGAAGCGAGTGTACAAAGCGTCCATCCCCTCGGTTCGCAGTGACCAAGTACCTCCCAGCTCGGCTGGACTTCGGTCCTTTTTCCGCTTTTTCTTTTTGGAACCGTAACCGTAGTTGTCGCGCGCGCTCCATCCGGGGTACAGCTGCATATGGAGCTGTCTCTCTTGCCTCGCTTTTTCATAGTATTTTGCCTGCTCCTCACGGCTCAACGAGTGCCACTGCGTTTACATGATTTACGTTACATCTGTCATTTGTCGCGTCAAGGAATCTCCCCTGCCCGTTTGGTAAAATCGAGTTTTTGTAAACTTTATGGGTGATGAATGCGCTAAATACGATGACAGGGGAATCAGAAGAACCGAGCTTATTACAATAATACTCCCATGTTAGATTTAGTAGAATATTGCGAAAATATATTACGATAAGTATACTTCTAAACAATTAGGCATGACCTAGGAATCTTTAACACTTAAAAAGTTTGACCAAATTTTTTTCAGTACCTATTTATATAAGTTATGTATATTTATATTATAATCTACATTAAACTATGATAATCTCTATGCAATTTATTCATTACCCATAAAGCGATCAAACAAGAAATCACCAAACAGAAAAAAAAACAATATTCAAAAAATATTTTGTATTTTTTTTTTATAATTCAAACGGTTACTCTTGCTGGGAATGAGAGTCGACGAGTTCCAAGAAAAAGGTATCGGATTCGATTCCCGCTACCGGTTTCACGTGTTTCTCAATTCGTTATTCAATACATAGTTGGTGATCGCTGATAAGGGAGGGCATTGTTTGCTAACATATGGGTTCGCTTGCGGTGAATCACATTCCTAACAAGATTAACAATTGATTTTTGCTCTTTTTTTAAATATTCCACCGAAAGAGGAAACGAATTATTAAAATAAACATATACAAAAAAAGATCAATGTGAGACCACGTTTAAATTAATCTCGCAATAACATGACTAAATATAATTATATAAAACAATGTCTGTGACGTCTGTATAAAATATTTGAAAAAATATTATTGAGTGTTTGAATTCTCAAAATGACGCATTAAAAAAATTGCTCCCTATTCATCGTTATTTTGTTAATTAAAACTCTTAAAATGAAAACGCTCTATAAAAACGTGTGGCCCCACCCTAGAAAAGTACAGTCGATTACAAAAGTGAGCTTTAGCAGACTCGTCCGAGCCGAACTCGCCCCTAAAAAATGAAATTTTGTTATCTAAATTATATTTTAAGCAAAACTCAACCTTATATCCGTTTATGATCATAGTCAGATTATGTGCGAAGGGTGCAGCGTAAGGTTTTTGTTCTTAAAAATATAAATACAACGTCGTGTCGCGTCGAACAAGCCGTAATATTATCATTCCAAAAATACGGTAGACCGAATTGACTTCTGGCTCGTAAAATATAATAAGGATGAGCTTGAAAATAAAACTTATTATTATTCATATTTTATTACCTTTATTTTAATTATACGACACTAATTATTTGCATTTAATAAAACAAAATATGCACGAAGTATTTTGAAATTCACAAGTGCTTTTTATTTTTAATTTTAAATAACATGTTTGCTAGTTACAAATAGTTTGTATATTTATCCAGAAAGTAAGTTTATCATTCGACTTTGCTTATGATGACATGAGCGTGTACATGGGGGCTAAAATTGGGACGAGTTTGGCCCGGCCGACTTTCCTTGGGGTAAAAAATGACATTTAAAAAATTACTAAGCAACTCACCCGTCTGCCTAAAATCTGATTGATTGCCGCTGACTCTTTCAATGTGCACTCCGCGACAACCTTCGCCCTCATCTCCTTCATGTATAACATAAAGGCGTTGAGAGGTTTTTTGATATGGGGTTTTTTGTTTTGCTCCTTGCTGTTAGCCGAGGAGCTTTCAGCCGGCTTATCACTTGCCGAACTGCTACTACCTTTCTCTATTGACCTGGAAATAAAAAAGGGCCTCTTAGAAAACAGTCATCAGGCCTTGTTTGAATAGCTTGTTATAATAGTTTTTTTTATGATAATTATTATTAATGGAAGTTTTCATACATATTACTAATCTAAATAAAGAAACTGTAAGAGAAACTTAAAAACGTAAGCTTACAGTATTGAGAAACTGCAAGGTTAAAAACAATACCTCAGTAGTATTGGCTAAGGCAGCTTTGGAATATTGTTAATAGACGAAATTTAAATTCTGCTAAGAGTTCTTAGAAATTGTTTAATATAACTGGTAATAACAGAGAAGACAAAGCGTTTTATTAAACTGTATTTTGCGATTACATCATTTAAGTCCTTGTCCTAATTACGTTTTGGGACGGAGCGATATTCATTCATAATTCTCGATTAGTCGTCATGTCAACTCACACCCTGTTATTCTTAGCTGTCTTTCATACTGTCTATAATTCTTTGGATCTCCTACATCTACCACATAACTTAGTATAATACTTATACTTATGGTAGAAGTAGCCCACGACACTAATTAATTTTACTTTTCTTCGATATTAATGGCAATTGTTTTTCATTTCGTAACGAATAGTGTATTGAAGTGTACTTGATTACAAAAACATGTATTTATCCGACTTATTATTATAAAGTTAGTGCTCGGTTTAAACCATCGATCGGCTAATGCAAATTCTTAATGACAGAAGAGAAACGTCGAAGTGAAATGGGTTTATTTATTTCGGTCGATTGATGAGACAGACTGAGTCCATACTACAAGTTTGGACCGGAAGTGGTACTCTTAAAACAAATTTTCTATATCGCACATTGAGAACGATAGTGACACAATGCAAAAATGGGATTTTGAGTAATGAGCGTGTAAAGTTCAAGAAATTGTAATCAGCCCCTCTAAACAACGTATCGTCACTACGCCACCTAGCAGTTTCTATACAAGCTACGTTCAAAAATGGTCAAAAACATTTAGTAATTTTTTTTACTTGTGTCAAACAGAGAGTAATAAGACTTACTTGCACATAATATATATATATATATATATATGGTCAATATTTCTATGCACTTACAAGACAGTTGGGAGGAATTATTTAAAAAAAATTGTTAAATTTAATCATTGATTATTACCGAGTGTTGGTTATTTTACATTTACAAACAGTGTTTACTTATCTATGTTTATATAAAACGGTGTAATTATATATATATTGTTGCCCTCTAATTAGCTGTCGTGTGTACTGCCATTACATTATTAGCATCATTACAATTTTCATTGCCGACCTTAGCTGTGATAAACAAGTGATTTCACTGAACATATCTAGCGAACTGGCGATCAATATGTTAACGAGTTTAGGTGTTAACGACAAACAGACAGACAGTAAACAAACGCGCGTCCGGTTCGAAATAGACGCTCCGTTTCCGCTGCGCGCGCGCCTCTCCACAATTATACCATTGCATTTGTATGAAACCATACGGTTCAGTAACTTACAATCTGAAAAGAGTCTTAAAATTGAAGAATTAAGAATCATTATAATAGATATTGAAGTAAATTGTAAGATTTATATCTATTATGATAATATTTGTCGATTCATTTGTCATGTGATGATGTTTGTATTTAGCTATGCAATGGTAAAGATTGTCTTGTGATTCGAATTATGTAGCTTTAGAATTTTAATCGATTCGAGATTGCTGTTAGCGGTTGGTTCTCATAATTTAGTTCGTCTTTCTTAGTATCTTAAGTTTGAGACTGTAAATATGTTATTTGTATTTTGTGCTACAGTTACTATGATCTTCCATACAGCGCTGAACGTAACTTTACATATTGTAACAAACTTTAAGGGAAAAGACGAAAGCAACATGCCAGTTCATGAGAGAAATAAAAACAAGATACCATTTTGCCATGAAATGGAGGGTATAGAAACATTTTAATTATCCACTGAGCTACCCAGGACCTAACAGGACTGACGATTTTTCAAGCGCTTGTTACTTTTTCGCAGAGCACGTACTTTTTTTACAGAGCGTATTTTCATCAACGTTCAGGAAATCCACCCATACAGCCGAAAGAAATATTTTTACAAACATATACTGAAAAATATTGTTAAAGAAAAATTCTTAAAAGCAGTCGCCTGAATTGCGAAAGGTCATAGGTTCGAGTCCCATCTCAGAGTGTCAAGAAAAAAGTGATTTTTTTTAATAGATTTTTCATTAAATATTTTTTAGTATAGCATTGTAAATGTAAAATTGTATTGTTAAATTTTCTTTATAATAAACATTTATGATGAAATTAATTAAAGTGTGATCTTTAAGGTAAATTAAGGTAAATAGTATGTAATGTGTATTACTAATTAAAATGAAATATTAATCACACCAAGTTTTTATTTTAAAATCTACTAACTTTCTGCCAGCGGCTTCGATCGCGTGGTCTTGTAATAATAAAATTCTGGGTATGACGTCACCCAGATTTTTAATATTTATAGTAATAAAAAAATAATGTCACAATGTGATAAATTTATATAAATCAATCTATAAAGTGCATTGGAATATAAAAACAATTTAATTAATTATATTATTTAATATCATTAATCAGAAATATATCTTGAGTATAATAAGAATGAAAAACTATTCCAATGATCGGTGACTTACGACTTCCCGAAACACAGATCCGAATTTTCAACAATTCCAAAATAGAATCAATAAAACTTCGTGTGACATTATATTTAGTAGTACAACTAATGGACAGTTTTATACAGTAGATTAGTTCAGGGAACTTCAAAATATATGACTTCCTTTAGTTTAAAATAAGCAAGTCAAAAAAGGAGAAAAGTTATAAAAGGAATCTGTACACAATGAACGAGGCATTCGGTGGCAATGATTGTTATGTAAGTACTGTAGGCATATTAACAAGGTTTACTAAATAGGCAAAAGGACGGTCACATTTAAAATAACATGGTTCTTTTAATTATAAAATTAAAATATTTATCAGATGATTATCTTGTTAAATTAAAAGTAAAATCCCTAATTAACTGGCTTAAAACACTCAATTATACAAAGATAGAAAGACTAATAAAATCAGTTCGATAACGCTATAAATTTAGAGTACGTATCAACAACTTGAATTAATGCACACTCCCTTACATACACACACGCACACACAGGCATACACACTGACAAATGCACACGCACGTAGTAGCATAAGCACTTAATAATCATCTGGATATTGGTTTCTTTCTGTGGTAATAATACTATTGTTTCTTTCTTTCTATGTTTTGTCATAATATATATATTTGGGTACATATTCCTATATAACGATGGCCTCCTGCTGCAGGTATTAGAGGATCTTAAAGGGAAGCACACCATGATGTTTGTATTGTAAAATGTTTAAGGGAAACAAGGTTTTTTATTTACAATATTATTATTATATTAAGACAAGCGTTTTAATCTGTAAATCACGTGACGCCCCGTCGCGGTATGACGTCATATACTTAAAGCTTCTGTTTTGTTTACGTAGGTACCAAGATGGTATTATATAGGTATAAAGCGGACAGAGCTATCGCGTGTTTATAACATTTTCTTAAAATAAAAATAAGTACTTTTTCAAACAGAGTATAATACCGAATCGCTTAGATATAATATCATTTGTGTTGTTTATAGAAGAAGACAAGTATGATTCTGTAGTTCATGTTTCGTAGTTGGTGGAGTGAATATTAAAATTGAAGTTAAAGACAGTAAAAAAAAAAATCCTCATCCATCAGTTTTGCTGACGGTACACGTCACAGTGGCCCGTTAAAGCGGGGCGTCTCATATATCATCTTAATTAAATTTCTCCAGCGCCTTATTTACATGACTGTACCTGGACTTATATGTAAAGGCATGGTGTCAGTGAAGACGGGTTATTGGAATTTACGTGATTTTAAGAGCAATTTTAATAATTATACATGATAACGAGGTAATTTTAAGGGAGTTGACATTCGGGCACGAGCGGTGCAGGTTTTCTCTTGAAATTAAACATTGTGAATTTATTCAAGCTAATGAGAGATGATGTTTTTTACCCCCATTAGGGTTATTGACAATTTTCCAAAAATATTTTAAGAAGTTACCATAAAGGTAAAGATGGTTATAAAAAAAATATTTTTCGGCAATCAAAAGATATTTACACTTATTTTTTATTATTATTTATATGAGTTTCATATTTTATATTGATCACTGTCAATAACCCTATTGCCACTTCACAATTTTTAATTTTTAGATGTTTATTCTATTGGCGAGGGTATTAGAAATATGAGAATCAAACTCTAGAGTAGCATTTTTTCAGCTATCAGTGCCGACCCACCTTTATTAACGATGATTATGTGTTTTTTGAGTGACGTACACCTGAGTGGACACGTTGAAAACGTGTAAGATTACATATTCTCATTTAAAAATAGAATTTCTTTTAAAGCATGACGAGTTCTTTAGAATAGCAATATGTAGTGTTGATGATTACTTCATATATATATTTTTTGTCTTCATGTTTAATGTTGCGCTTAGGAAATATTTGAAATGAATGTAGGTTTTATATGAAAGACTTCAATATATACATAGAAGTACTTTTCTTCGTTCACATCAGCTTATACAAAGCTGTCTAATTTCTACAATCGATTTGAATCCAAAAAAATACTACCAGATCCAGATCGATTGACGAACTTCTGTGAATATCTATTAACCATAGATACTAGAGTATGAAAAATATATGGCTGCCTGTGAGTGGAAATGTAGAAAATGTAATTTATAATAAAAACGGGGCCTTCTCTTTCTAGAAACGTGTGCATAATAAAGGACATCTATAAACAAACCTTCGAATCTGTTAATTATATTCCCTTTCCGCACTGATTACGCGTGAGTAAAGCGAGACAAATGTTTACCGTGATCTATATCCGTGATTTCTTACTAGTCGAGTAACATGTTGAAGTCTGGCTTATGTACTCTAGTATAAAAGCTCATCACTATACATGGAATGGATTTGAAACATATAAATTATTTGTTTATTTATATTTTTTCCCTGTGTACCCACGCAGACGTGGATTTTTTAAAGTATTTTTAAGTCAAATATATTGTGAAATCAAATAAAAATTAATTTTAAGTCATTGAAATGTAATCGCTTACGAATCCTGAGTTTATCATACCGAAATAATTAAAACAATAAAAATGCCTAAATAATTACCAAAATTGCTTATTCGTAAATTTGCTAAAATTAATTTCATTAAAAAATATTGACTGTTGTAATTCGTGTACGACTCGTTTTTTTTCTTAATTAACCCGTTTTTACATTATCGTCAATTACGAAAATAGCGATCGCGATGAATTTCAAGATAAAAATCAACATTACAACTATCAAAGATAATTGATTTCACTTAGGTTCGCTGAATGCATGAATTTTTGATACTGATCAACTTTAGTAACATGTAATAATTATGTTTTTAAAACCTACAATCTGCAACTTGTAATAACAGGTCAGCTAAATGTTTCAATAAACTGGCGCACGCGTCGCGACATTGCTATTGTTTACGGCTTACGCTAGGGTTGCCACATTTTTGGGTTAAAGAATTATAAATAAACTTAGAAAGAACCATTATTATATCTGTATGTATTCTTTTTTAATAGATCTGTTAATCTAGTTTATTCTGCACGCACGTCTCCTCAAATTAATATTAGTTTGTTTGATGTAAATTAAATAGAAAATAGTTAAAGGAATGCATTGAAAAGTAAATAATGACGTTATAATGTAAATAAGTTAAGAAAGAAAAATAATTGTTAGAAACTCAAAGATGTTAAAAGTGGGGGTGGCTTCGCAAAGTAGGGGAACAATGTGTAATTATGAACTGCTTATGATGAGCCTATTAAGCAGAATTTTGTAAGATCTCCGGACCTCAAGCAAATAAAATAAAGAAGAAGTAACCACTATCATAGAAGTTTTATTATACAGCCCAACAACGGCTCGCTACGTGTTATTCTCCTCTAGATCAGGAAGATCATATTTATTTATTTAGGCTTTATTGCATTTAAAACACAAATAGCTAATTGTATTTTATGTTATTAAAATATTGTATAAATTAATATCTTTCGAGATACAGCCTCTGTAAAAGTTTTTCTTTATTTATAAAATTAGTGGAAGCTTGATTAATCTTCATCGTGCAGTAAGTTTCTTAGGACACCTGTAATACAAAATTGGTGATCTGTCTGTATAGTATTTAGCGAGTTTATTGACAAAACATATAGACTAATCCTATTTTTAAACAGCTGTAAAATAATAAATATATGATTGCCAATGAATTTGTATTATTTAAACTATAATTTTAATATGACGAGCATATTTTAAAGTTACCACGAAAATAACCATGAAAATATTATTTATTGATTACGTATTTTGACAACCCTAAAGACACCCCTCGAGCGTGTTATATCGGGGCGATTGTATCGGAGTATGCAATAGTGATATTAACCCACCCTGGACTATCAGATATGGGCCAGATGCGAACATGATTATTTAAGATACTATCAACCTTTTTTACAGGTTAATATTTATTGTAGTTGGTGTTATTTTTATAGCGATATTAAAATTTATTACGTCACTTTTATTTCTATCTAAATATATATTAAGCTGTTAATAAAAGTCATTGATATTTTAATTTTTATTATTATACCTTTAAAGTGTTATGTCAGAGGTACTCAAATTATTTTAAAAATACAGTATACATTTGCAATTACCTGATAATGATTAAATATTTTATAATATAAACCGGTAATAAATACCGGTTAATTTAACTCACAGATTTTAGTTGTTACGTTCATGATCATTGTCTCTGTTTGTCTGTATATCTTTAGTTACACTCTGTCACCACTGTTTATCAATGGTGACAAGAGTATCATTGACAAAATTTGAATCATATAGAGATTGCCATCCCCAGAGATTATAATTTTTATCGAAACGATTTTGCTCTGAACGACCATTTTTAAAACCTAGTTTTTGATCCTTAATGAACCGGTAAGTCCTGGTCACAAATTTATATCTAAAAAGTTGTTGGTTACCAATCCGTGAGCTACCTATGCAGCTCCGCATCATGGAAAGGAAGCGTTTACTCTGGATTAAAATTGTGCTGCTAAAAATGTTATCTCTCGGAACAGCGGAGTTTTAAAAAGGAGGTTTTTATTGCGCATTTCAAAGTTGAAAATCGATGCGAAATTCTGAATTGAAATTCTGTTTTAGATCCAAATTGCATTTTAATGAGCAACGATGTAACGTAGACATTTGAAAGATCTATCGTATAGCGGAGATTGAGTTGAGTAATATATGAAACGCAATCATTATCGCATACATGATGCATCTATTGAAGTGTAACAGTGGTGGTGGATGGCTGAGATTTGGACATGAACCGGTAAATTTATTTATTTAAGAACATCCAAGCTATGTTTCTTACCTCGCATACCGTGATTGGTATGAATCGACGTCGGCTTTTGACGAGGGCGGAGGCACCAGCGCGGGTCCTAGGCCGAGGCCTAAACCTCCGCCCAATGTTGGGGAGAATCGGTATAATTCACTGTAGGATAAAAAAGGTAAGTAAATACTTATGATATTGCAGTCACATCAATAAAATATAGTCTACCGAATAAGTCGATAAGAATTATACTTTTTTTCTTCTCAAATAATTAAGCACCATAAACTTTAGTATCGAAGACGGTATACGCCACGTGAAAAGAGACGACATTCTTACGTGTGAAGTATCAACAGTTCAGCTATCTCTTTCGCATGGGATTGTGCCAGCCCTAAAACATCTGTGACGTAGCACAAGGTCATAGCCGCTTGCGCTTACATACACAGGGAGTGGCACCTATATACCGGTAGCTAAGCATTAACCGCTTTGGTTAGTCAGGCTACCGGTTACAGATTATAATAGTAGATACGCCCAAAGCGTCATAACTATGTGGAAATTGACATTCGTTGACATCGTGTTATTATTCAAGCACTCGCTGAGTTTATATGTTTAGCTATAATTAGACTAATGATAATAAGCCACAGAGAATGGCTTCCGCAAGTGGGATGACACGCATCCCGCATGTGCGCCCCATCTACCAATATCTATGAGCCTGACTTGATCTTACCTTGACAGACTAGAACTTGGTATTGGCAGCGAGGTAGGGTACGGACTCCGGAAACCACTCGCCGCCGAAGATATAGGGTACATGCTCGGGGTATGCCTGAACAAATAAACAGTTCCAAATTCGAATAACACAACAATGACATTTCTTTCATAATGTATTTTAACAACCTCACTGTTTCATTATTTTTACAGCCCATAGATGGAGCTAGGCTTATAATGTTGGTAAATGTAAAGAAATAAAGCATTGAAATGTAGATTATCTACTAAGCGTCAAATCCAACACGACTACATGATTATAAAAGAATAAAAGAAATAAACTATTTCCACCGTGCTAAAAATTTGTGCTAAGAATTCTAGTTTATTAAAAATAAATCCCCAATATTTCTTAACAAACAGAAAATAGATTGAATAAATAAGATCAATAGAAAAAGAATACAAACTGAATGAGTAATCAATTGTAACATTTTCAGGCGCATACAGACCAACATGGTTATAAATTATTTTTAAACATCAGGGAAGGTATTTAAATAGATCTGATAACATTTTCCTAAAAAAGTTAACAAAAATATTTATATAAAAAAAGTTTGCATACGGAATTGATTTTCTTTTAGTTTAGATATATGTACTCACCACGAGGCGGCTACTTGTGACATTTCGGGGCTGAGCATGGGGTAAGGATAAGTTCCCCCGGGAAAAGGGTACATGGGTGTCCTCGCTAAGCCTGCAGCTGAAAAAAATAACAGATGAGTAAAACATATTGAAAATATTAATTCCACATGTTAAAGTTAATGACATGTCTTGTTATAAACAATGTATTATATATAAAATGTATCTACGTATATATAAATGAATGACCGAAATGTATATACGCACATAACTTCCAAACGTCTGCACCTAATTGGATGATTTTTTTAATATATTTTCTTGGTAGCGACTGGAGAAAGAAAATTTGACGGTACAAAGTTCTTCAGGACAACTAGTAGGTATATAATAAAACTAACTCGCTCGTCGTTGTTTGTATGCTGGGATCTTTTAAATTACACAATGTATTATAATGCGATTTTCATCAATATACAGAGTTCAAGAGAAATACAGAAGCAAGCGGGCGAAGCCGCTCGCGGAAAGCTAGTCAGTGTATAAATTACAAATTCTTTGAATAAAATTCCTCCAATATATTTTAAACTCTAGTACATAGTATTTAAAAATCAAGTGGAGAATTTTAAGAGATTTATATGACCGGACTTGCTGATGATTGTACTTGAAAACTTATACTATATAATATAACGTTATCTATTGTCACTTAAAATATACTATAACAATTATGCCATTTACCATTATGTGATTTGTTAACCATATTTAAATTCTACAACTAATTAAGCAAAAGAGAATATAAAGTTGTCATTACCAAAATACTCACCAAGCTTCGAATCAAGCTGGTAAGGCGGAGGTATGCCCATGTGGGCTGGAGGAGGCTGCCCTAAGTCCCCACCGGGACAGAACAGCGATAAACTACCGCCAGCCGGTAGACCCATCTTCCCCGTCTGAAACAATAATAAAATAATATAAGAAAAACACATACATAATCAAAAGCTGTATAGTTTCATTGTAAAGGCGAAAAATCTTTATACGTAGGTATATCTAAAAAAGGTTTGGTGACCAACGTGTTACTCGTAAAAAAAATTCAACTAGACTCGTTCGTGTAATCTTATGTGACATTACTTTCAACCTTATGAGAGCGTGGGTGTTTAGTTAACATTTAACCCGACTTCAAAAAAGTAGCTTTTAAATTTTACCTGCTTTTTGGTATATATTATGTGATATCTTTGTCAATTACGATTGTTTTCGATAAATCATTGTTGTTATCTAAATAACGAATAAACCCTTTTTTATCTCTGACAGTACAAAAACCAACTTCGACGTCGAAAATAAAATAAGTAGAAAGGTAGTTAACCAATTTAGGAAACTTCTAAACGCTAAGTAGTCCTTGATCTTGATATTCATATATTCAACTAAAACTGAAATTCGCCAACAAATGCAAGCAAACTAGAAACTGTTGTCCAAAAAAGCTGAGTTTCGGGCGACGGCAAGACGACGAGTCATTAGCAAGTAAATTGGCGGGTTGGCCGTATAAATTTTGCGCGGCGCTCTCGTCGCCAATTATGCAAAATGGCGCCCAACGAGGGGCTATTCAGGCGCGCCGCTCCCGAGTATCTCACCTCTAATTAAACGAGACTTCTTTCAGCACTTTATTATACGTAATAAACGGTAGTGTTCGTGACGCTTAATAAATTCTTATTTATTTTTATTATTATCTAGTCGTGACATGTCGTGATTAGAAATTACATGTAATAGGATATTTTTTCCTATCCTATACTGTGAGAATTCAAAATTTTAAAAAATTTCAGAGTTGGTACAGTTAAATAAAGTAAAATAGTTTTGATTCCAAAATAGAAAAGAAAATATTAGAGTTGGAAAGAAACAGGTATGAAATTCAATATAGGTATTGTGTTTGACTATTTGATAAGTCCCAAAACTGGAATTCCACAAGCGTGAAGATATAGTGTAACAAAATAATTCAATAAAGCCACTGTATTAAACACAATAGAAAATGGAAGAGACATCACAAAACCTGTTTTGAAAACCCCAACGTCATTCATTCTATTTAAAAACGAAAGGAGCTGACAATTCCTTCAGCACTCATCCATATTTCGAAGAGCAGGAACTGCTTATTAAGACAATAATTGCCACAGACAAAAGAGCTCCACTAATTAATAATAAAACACGCACAAACAAAGACTCCCATTCACGCTCGGGACAGCTCAAAAAAACAATAAGAGAAAAAAATTACTAAAACGGTGGTCGAAAAACCTCGACATGCGAGGACGAACAAAAAGAGGGCATAGACAATGAATGACGAAGCTGAGACGCATAATGCGGGAGCGCGTTCTTAATTTGAAAATATTTCCATAATAAGATTTGTCTATGGCTCAGGCAAAAACAAAAGGCGGAGTGCGCTTTATCCGTCTGACAGCTCGTAATAATTAAAAAAAATAATTCAAACTATTAAAATAATAGTATCACAAAAATGATATTAGCTTTCTTGTTAAAACTTTCATTTTAAAATTAGTAGATTCGCCTTTTCAGCGTTTGCGTACACATTGAGAAGGTCCCTAATGAAGGCCCAGGTGGAGTGGTCGGCTATTGAAGGAATTGCTGAGTGGGTAGTTATTGCGGCATGAAAGCGCGTGACGTCACCGCCACTCGAGCGACAAGTCTCAGTCGCTAATTGGAACTCGCGGCGATAGGACGCGAGAAATGTTGCCTCAATCGACTAAATACATCAGAATTGTAAAGGTTTGTTAACGAGCGGCCGGCTGAATGTTGCGAATGGGACCACTCGAACCCGGTTTGCATTCGCTAACTGCTTTAAGTTTTTTCCGAAGCAATTTTGACAGTCGATACAGCTAAATTGGAATTCCGTTGTAACCTAAAATGTACGCACACTAGCTCAGTGCCTACACCCCTTTAGTTCACCAATGCGGACGAAGTAGGGCGTAATATCTTGAGAGTTCGCCCCCGGGGTGTGGGCGTGGAAGTAGGATGCTGCGTTGCCATGGTAACCATGTGTAGGGTGGTTGGACACGTGTGCGAAGGGGTATGGGGGTAGGTGGAGATCCTTGCGGTTCGTGAAACGGCGTTTACCGACCTTGAAAGTTTTGGTCTAGTTTCTTCTTTCTAAATAAGAAGTTGACTTATGAATTATTTTTTTAAGATGTTGTTGATGTGTAGAATTTCACTTTTCGAGAATCTCACGTTTTGAGAAGCAAGTAGTTCTCTTTCAACAAAAGAATTCCACACACTACAAATTTCATTTCTGTGTAACATAAAGTTCTGTACTAAATTAATATAATTCTTAAAGACGAACGATTTATACACACAGATTTGGAAAATTTTATGAGTTTCTTCTAGAAGAATTTAATAACGTAGCAAATATATAATATAAAAATGGCACCGTCAATTCAGAACTGTCGCCACCCATTAGATATCGCGTCATTTCTTACAGTTTCCGGGATTGGACCTACGAGACGGATGGGAACCGGAAATGCCTAACGAGGGTCGGCGATATGATAGAGTTACGTACATTATAGGCATCACTGTATTTTTGATATTTGTATTAAGATAGCATATAAGGTATAAGACGAAATGGTAAAAGTAGCAGAGGATCATGTCTTTTTTGTTTAAAGAATTCATTTAAAAAAAAACATAGACAATGTTTTTTTCTTTAATTATATCAAATTGTTTCGATGAATACATTCCAAAAAATCAAAATAAAAAAATTAATTAATTGAATTAAAAATTAAAGAATCAAAGTTGAATTACGGCATGGATATAATATAATTTCAAGATAAATATTATTAAAGTAATTAAACATGTCTATTTTGTTTGAAAGAAATATATTTTATTTTTATCTATAAACTTTCATGTAAACCTTTAATACTTAATACTATTTGTGAGGAGATATTAATATATTAACTTGTTTTGTACCCTCTCTACCTATAATAAAAACAGCTCAAAAGGTTATCCCAAATCTATCATTATTTTAATCCTTAATCCTAACGACATTCTGTTGTAATCTCTTGTGTGATTGCGATTACTAATCAACTAATACCTTAAATAATTTTAACCAACAGCAAATCACTGATCTCAAAGTGATTGAACAAGATCCGTATTGTTATTAAGTAAAGATTAAATTAATTAGTATTTGGTACCATTGGCCGCCTATAGCAAATTGACAATGACAGAAGAGAAAACGTCAAATTGAGACGTGTTGACTTATTTTGGTCGGATAATAGTTTAAATCTGATACTAAACTAAGTACTCTTTTTATAAGACGGATGCAAGTTTATATATGAGTCGTCGGACATGGATATTTCAAATCGTAATGATTAATGTTTGTAGTATATTAGTTCAGTAATGTGGTAAATTCTTATTACAAATAAAAATCTTATTGAAATAGAAACTAATAACAAATCGTCAGAAGGCTATTATACTCTATAAGCCATTGTGTTCATAATACCTCATATATAACGAATATAAGTGTATGTAAATACATACGGAACCCTTGTATCCTTACCCCGTACTGACATCCCAATTTTACTAGGGAAAGCTAGCCGGTGTACGTCAAAACATAATTGGGACCTTTAACGTAGATATATAAGTAAATAGCTAGATGTGTCACTTTCGAATAGTAATCTACGTAAAATTTCGTGCTTATATAAATACTTTTATTCACGTTAAATCTTTAATTACACTTGATAGATAGATAAATTCTTTATTTGCATCATGCACACATAAAATTTTACAAAACTGATTTCCATAAATAATTATGAAAGAAAAGCAATAAATAGTAGAGAACAAGATGTAACTAAAACAAGACAATCAAAGAGTATGTGTATGTACCGCAGCGATGCAAATGGGCGAAAACTCAGTAAGTACCTATTTACTCAAGGAGCAAAGCACTGATTTTCAGTTTTTACCCTAATTACACATGCATAACACGGCGAATCTATCGATCGAGTTTATGCATGTGTAACGCACATAGCGTAATAGCACAATATTTCAAAGTTGGGCCTTACATAATTTCCGTTGGTAAGTGCCTTAGTGCTAAAGATGAGCTGAATGTATAAGCTAGACTAAGGTCGTACTCATTCCTACTGCGTAACAATTGTAGTTCAAAACAGCTTATCTAGTAGTATACATAGAAGACTTTAAAAAATTATCACTTCCATATGATCTTATTCTCCATAAAACGTACGTAAATATATGTATAATGTATTACACGAAGTTCGCAGCCTTTGGAAAAAGGTCAACAACCCACAACCTCCCTGGGGGACACCCTCCTACCCCACCGGGCTGATATTTGCAAATCTGAATATCGTGCGGCCCTACAGAATTTTCGGGATTAGATTTTCTTCCGGGACCGTTAGTAGCTTGCAAATTTTTTAAGGATTCCTTTAAATAGGGGAGATTTCATTGTTGTCGGGGGAAAAAAACTGCTATTTTGTTGATTCTGTGACATTTTTATAACGAAGATATTAATCTATGTATAAGAAAACAATAGTTTTTTCCATCTCATTTATTACGATTATGAATGTAGAGACAGAAATCACCTCTATTAATATTAGCAACAAAAGTAGTATCCATAACCTAGCAGGCGGATTGGAATGATATTATCTCAAATTCATACGTATTTAAAGTACGAATTTGAAATAATAGTTTTCGGTCAGCCATCTTGTTTTTAGTCTTGACGAAAGTTGCTAAACTTACACAATTTTAATACCGACCATGGTATTAAAATCATGAAATCTGTACCATTTATTTTAAATCAAAATATCTAAATCTAATTTTCAAGATGGTATCTTAATATTTTGAGTAGCTCGGTGTCGTAGTGGATAAGCGCCGCGGCCCGCGATCGTAGTCGTTAAGCAACTTTCGCAAGGGATGGGTGACCGAAAAATTATTATCTCGAGCTACTCCGTGCTTCGGAAGGCACGTTAAGCCGTTGGTCCCGGCTGCATTTGCAGTCGTTAATACCCTCCAATCCGCATTGGGCCAGCGTGGAGGGTCATGGCCCATCCTCCTTCACCATCCATAAGGAAGGCCTGAGCCCCTGCAGTGGGGACGTAAAAGGGCTGGTGGTGATCTTAATATTTCAGGTTTCCATACTAAATTTCCGCCCCTATTTTAACCTATTAGTGGGTCTAGAAACTTCTTAGTGCTCTCACATACAGTATATACAAACGGCTCCCTGTAATATCGTTCAAATACCTAGAGCCAGTATTTTAGGCTGTACTTTTATATATAATTTTTATAATATAAATAATAAAATCAATTATGGCGACATTTATCAACCGGCGCCGGCGTAAAAATCACTCGGCGACGGTAGTCGTTTGTGACATTATATAAATTATTTTATTCTATAACATATAAGATAACTCGGTGTACTTCGTATCACTTCTCACCTTTTAATTTAAACCACCCTTTGACTAAGATAGACATTTCTAAACCAATATCAGCTAAATCCGCACAGCCGTTCTCGAGTTTTCTCGAGAAATTGATTTTTTATGTATAATAGATTTAATAAATTTGTTATAAGTACTCACATAGTTTACACGAAATCCATTAAACGGCAGTATGTATTCGTACATTACCTACTGATAGCTGATTGATATTAAAAAATATAATTGAAACACGAAACATATTTTTTATCAGATTTGAAAAACAGATTGTCTTTCGTTTAATCCATAGTTAAGACTCTAACCACAATAAGTGACATTAGGGTTGTCACAAAATTTGTTTATCAAAATAATTGTATTAATTTTTTAGAAGATTTTGAAAATTAATAACTAAAATCATTTCGTTCTTTTTATTTTGCTATAATTCGATTAAAAAGAAAGAAGTTCTATTAAGTCCTTCAGCCAATTATAAGTGAAATATTAGATAAGTATTTTTCTGCTTCAAGTTAACAATAAATGTCTTAAAGGCATTAAAGTTGTAGAGTATGTCACGACACTACGTCACAACTATTTGGTAAATCTACATAAATGTGACATTTCAACTGCATGTATCCGTATTTTACTGATTAAGCAAAAAAATCAAAAATACGTGTTTAAATTTATTGGTAATCCAACAGAAAAAAACACAGTTAAGTCTTAAAACAAATGTTGCTCAGGCCCCTAGGCTCCGACTAACACTTGGCACGTTTTTATTTTGATAACAAAGTATCTTCTCATATCTTTAGTCTTTCATATCGGCTTTGTGTGATTTCGTTTCAATCTGAAAATCCTTAATATCGGAAATTCCTCAATCACATCGGTATTAAATTGTCGGACAAATAATATTAATACTAGTGTTAATCACTTGTAATCCATACAAATTACCACGGGTATTAATTAAACTTGTCTTGGCGGAATGAGTAGTGCCCTTACCGCCAAAGCGTTAGAGGCTATTTTAGCGTACTTTTGGCTAGTGGCGCGAACCTTGAATTTATCTACAATCACACATAAGCTGATCCGCGCCATATGATCGATGTGACGCTCAACTATGATATACTAAAACAAAGGAAAACCTACTTCAGAATGTAATAAAGGTTACATTTCATTGAAGCTCGATTTTGTAACAGCGCTGCACACGACGTAGAGTTTTGAGGTTGTTTTTACAAAAGAATACTTCTGCTGAACAAGGTAAAATGTGACGTAAAATAATGAAACATACATATTTTTGCGGTTGACATTGATTACATATGAATTTAAGAAATTAGTCAATGTTTAATTTGATTTTTATTTCTGAAGCTAGGGTCGTCAGCCACAATTATTTAAAACGATTTTGCCAGTTCATCACAATTTTTTGAAATTTTGAAGGAAAAAATATATTACGATCAGGTAAGTACCTATTATTTAAATAAAAAAATACAAAAATTATAGTGGGTAACCATGCTTGGGTTGAAAATGTACACTGTATTTAAAAAGCTATTTCCAAGCAAACTAAAATATGTGCACAGCATGGCGATAATGACATTTTCTAAATAACATAAACTCATGCAACAAAATTAACTATCGCAAAGCAAATTCTAAGCATTTCCTTTGCAAATCTGCTTACAAAAGAAGCAAGCGCTAAGATAAGTCATTTGTCCTCAACCACACACCTCAACAGATCTTTCATCAATCTCAATCAAGGATTTACTCAGAAATAACAAGCCCAGATTATAGCAATTTCGTCTATTTAGATGTGTACGTCATCCATTGCAGATTTAAATGGTACTAGTTAAGAACATTTAGAATCTACTCGGCGATGTAGGGTGAAATCAAACTAGTCGAGCGTTACTGTTCGAGTTAAGTCTACTGAGTCACAGTGACTCATGGATGTAGCGACAGCAAATTATGCTCAATCAAATATAGATAAAGTGGGGTATGAGACAGTAAATTAGTGTTTGGAGATTAAACATATAACGGTGACATTTATGTTGCACAAACTAGACTTAATTTAAAAAATGAAATAAAAACATGTTTCTCTTACAATTTAAGCGAGTACAGAATTGGCACCAGTATATACATGAGTTTTAAAAGCATGCATCAAAATGCATACTTTTAACACACAATTCTGCTGTTTGGAATAGACTTGTTTGACGTCTTTTAAACATTTTTTTTACATCCGCAATCTTTTAGTGTTCTTATTTTCTACATATATAAAATAATCTATCTGATAATCCATCTCAATAAGAAAATAATCTAGATATACAAAGAAATAATTAAGTATAAGCCATTTTATCAATCAGAACAAAGACTTCATGGCGATCAAATTACGTATTATTTTGTGCTTATCTGTGCGCACAAACTTATCGATGAATCTTGAATTTTATTTGTCTATGATGAGGTTGTGACAAATTAAAATGTCTAACTATTTTTTTTTATTAATCAAATAGAAAAATATCTCTAATTTTCGGTAAATAAAAAATCAAGAGGTGTCGTCAAGCGCAATAAAAAAAAATATCATAAAAATTATTATTAACAAACTAAATAATAGATGTATTTGCTGACTACACATTGCGAGCATTACGCCAAATGAATTATCGCACAAAAAGCTCCACCTACCGGGTCAATATGGAACGAGATATCTCATCTGCCTTTTATTGTCGCTTTCTCCGTGTCAAGTATTTCAGTTGCGCATACGTCGAATATCAACACAACGTGAACTCGTAGGATCGCGGGCGATGCGTCCAGAAATATAACGCCGACATTAATATTAATTGAAACCTTATTCACTAATCATGAAAGGCGATAATGCATTAAAAGATTTAAAAAACGAAATTAAAACCGTTCCGCTCAGCCATCCTTCTGTGGTCGTAAAATTCCATATGGTTATTCCCGTAACGGATTGTTTAATGGATACTAATAATTCTGTTTTCGTAAGCAATGCATTCAATTAATTAAAAAGGCTATTGAGGGCTATTCCTATTAAATATTTTCAAGAAAATTAATGATTAAATTATTAATATGTTACATTTTTCAATATTACCTGTACCTTAAATTTATCTTTTCAGGTTTGAACGGTTTCTAATATATCAATGCTGAAAATAGAAAACGAGACTAATATGAGTATAACTGACGCAGCGATTAGTCAATGTTCAAATCTGAATTTATTTTTGCATAAGCTTCATAAATCGTTGTATCTGTTTACCCTTTAGAAGCTACCGGCACAGATAAATCTGGATATTGTTAAAATAATAATTTAGTACAAACAAATTCTTGTGAACATGTCAACTCCACAATAACTAAGTCATCAACCAACATGCTTTCACATTAATTACAGTAATCGCTGAAATAAATTAGGTGTTAAAAAGATCGAAAATAACACAGGAAAAAAAACCGCACCCGACATCGCGAAGGAAATTCTTAAATTGGACATCTCCATCCCCCTCGTTCAATCTTGTATAATATATTTTTGTCTCATCCTCGTTGGGCATTTCCGGTGTGACAGCGCTGCCAGACTACTTCGTTTTTAAATGGTTGTGAATGTGATGACCGTAACGATAACGTACGATTACAAAAACCATTAACGAAGAGAAATATTTATATATTTTAAATACATTTTTTTCCCAGAACTCGAAAAATCTTTAATGTTATTGATATAAATGAAAATTCGTTTCACAGTGACGCGAGAGGATGCTCCATGTCAAATTTAATAAGATATATATATATATATATATATATTTTTTTTTCAAACCAACTAGAATTGTTACTTTATACCGATGCTCATTTCCATAAGTGACGACCTTATCGAGTGACATGCTAACGAATTCTTTGTCATACGAGATTTGATTCTAGGTCAGGCAATGAGAAAATGAATTTTTCTTTATTGTCTCGAGTACGAAGTTCCCAACTGGGGATCTTCGAATTTTATTTACGATTTAAAGAAATATGTTAGAACTAGCAAAGCTTTCGAAAAGTCATCTACAGCTTTCTATTTAGAAATACATTTATAAGATTTTATTTTTTTTTATTTTTAGCTTTTTTAGATTATTTTTCATCGTAATATTAACGAATTTTTTTATTAGATACCCATATTATAAGAGTGAAGAATCACAAGTCCACCATATTGGATTTAGATTGAAGTGATTTTATTATTTTCGAATCTCTGTTACTTGGTACACATAGCATAACTGTACGTATACAAAAAACAATCCCGTCCATCTGTCGCTTGACCCATCGACTATATTATATTTAAAATGGCATTTTACTTAGCAAACCATGAATCTAAACTACACCTGTATGCAAAATTTAAGATTAAACGGTTTAAAATTAATTTGAAAGATATTTATTTCAAGCGTTTTTTCAAAAATTAATTATTGATAAGCTTGTAAAAAAGAATTTAATGTTACTTCAAAAAGGAAAAAGGGATAGTATTTATAACAAGACATTTTAATCATACAATAGTGTACTTAAAACAAAAGTGGCCTATTAGATTTAATAACAGCCTGCCGGCGCGTTTAATTTCCAATGGAAAGGTCTCATTAGGAAAATAATCGCAGCCAGTCATAGTGTTGTTAAATTATAGAAAATTGTCACAGGAAGGCTTATTCTGTGCTTGATAACAATAAAAAAAAAATGAAATACGAAATCAAATGTTTTTAACGGAGAAAATCTATGTTGTTCTTTTTTATTTATAGGTTATAAAAAGGCTAATTCGGAGAAAATTATATTCATACTAGCTCTCGCCAACGGCATCGCCCGCGTGGACTCTAGGAAAATGTTAAATGGGATAAAAAGTATCTTATTATCTAAGTCAGCTAATACCCTATATGTATACCAAATTTCATCAAAATCCGTTCAGTAGTTGCGGCGTGATTGACCGACAAACATCCAAACAAAGAAACTTTCACATTTATAATATTAATAGGATTACCAAATTTTTAATGTTCTGCAAAAAATACATTGTTAATATTTAAACTTAACCTTTCAAAGTCAAAATCAAAACCAAAATTTGAAAACCTTTTGAAGTAAGTAGTTTTTATTAGATTGAACTTATATGCTGTGACAGCACTTTGCACGACGTGGAGGCCGATGCTGATTTTATTACAGAATAGCACTACTCTGGTGACCAACCTTAATATAATATGTTGCTTAATCTTTCCTATTGTAAAACAAACGCG